TGCCTGATCAGAAAACTTAAAAAAGGCCGGATTATGACGAACCCGGATAAGCATAATTAGCATTAAATGTGTTTAGCAAAGGTATGTGATTTGGACAACGTGATACCCGGGTGGGTCAATCACTGCGGAAAGCTCCAGTTGCACGTTGACTAGAGAAAGATGCAGCATAGAAGCGCGGATAGTCGTAAATTGCCATGAGGGGTGTTCGACACATACATAAAGTTAGAGTTAGCCACATCACCAAAGCAGCTTGCATCAAAATATCAAGAAAATGAAAGCGAGGTTTGCATCACCCAAAACCACGGTAATCCGACCAATCCAGCGTAAAAGATGCCATCAAGATGGGGATCATCATGAAATTGTAACGGTGACTTTTCCGCTTAAGTAATTCCCCGGCCAATTTCACACCACCTACTACCCCATGTGGTTTTATCTGCCTCACAATCACTCATCGACACCGTGACGAATACGACCTTGACCAACATGTCGACAACAGGTCAAATCCAGTTCCTTGATTTTTTTAAGTGACGCCATTTGATCTCACATTGTTTTCATTTCCTACTCGATAGAACGACACATATAAGGACGTAACACGATCAAGCACACGTGAAGGTCAAAGCGTAGGCTAGCTCAACACTTCAGCATAGTGCGCCCCAATTGCACGCTGCATCGGCCCTTGGGTATGGCGTCAGCAAACATCATGTCACGGATGAAAAGGATTAGGTGTGGGCGATAATATCGCCAAGAGGAAACTCCCTAGATCAGGCCTCTTTCCGTCAACCTCATCAAGGAACTTACAAACTGATAAGTCTCCCCAGTTTGGCGTGCTTCCTTTTTACATTGTGTTTATATTCATAAAGTGCACCTAAACTTGTAATACTCTACCTTAATAAGTGTCTCTCGTTTTTGATATTCGAGCCCAACGCCTATGTGAGAATTAAGTTTCGTACGTGTATTGGTATAACCAGACGAACTAGAAATCCAGAATTCAGCGCAGCGCAACAACCAGCACTTATGTATTCGAATTGGCGAAAATGTACTGCATATGGAATATCAAAACAAGAGAATAATGGATACGGCAATGAAAAGAGTATCAGTCCTGTTCAGCACATCCGCCGCAACTTGAATGAGCGTGTGGATGTTTATAGTCCAGTGGTGGTCTTGACCGCAATCTTTCGGATCTTCTCGGAATGAAAACTTCAGACTCTTCACAGGCTGTGTTCTTCAGATACGTCTTGTTCAGATACCATAAGATCATCTACAAAGGATTCATTAGTATTTGAAACAGCAGGAGTTCCGTTAACAGACTTACCTCTGGTATTGAACCCAACCCGGTCAATGTGTCTCCGATGGCAAGAAAAATCACCCAAATCGAGAATTGCGACCACTCGTTTGCCATTTGATGAAAGTACTAATCCTGTAGCAGGTCGTAACTCATTACCCTTGAAAAGTGTAACATCAGCGGTTTTGGCACAGTCAAGACTTGTACGCAACGAACGAGATTTAAATAAAATCGCGGCACTCTTCCCAGTAACAGAATGAACGGCGTTCCTGTATTGCATTAGATGATTATCAATCTCACGGTCCAGTTCCACAAAAGTAGCAGGAGAGAGTGAAATAATAGCAGACTTTGGTGTTCGCACAAAATTCTCAGCAAGTCCATTCGACTGGGGATGTCGTGGAGCGGTAAACAAATATCGGCATCCAAGACCCTTCAACCATTCCTCGAAGAATTTTGCAGTGAAGTGCGTGCCGTTGTCAGTGACCAAAACAGTTGGTACACCTTCATGGCTGAACTCAGTGCTTACTAAATGAATTCGGCGCTTAGAGACTTGGTCAGAAAAACTTCAGGCCAACGTGAATCTGCGTTAATAACGACTGAAGCAAAGTGTTTGCCGAAAAAGGACGACGGTAGTCGGCATGAACTCGTTGGAATGCTTGACGAACAGGCTCGTGTGAGCCAAATGGAACAATTCGTCCCCTGGGTATTTGGATGCTACTTGTAGGCTTAGGACATTTAGGAATCGGTTGTTTGATTCCATTCTCATTCACAGAAGTCGGTAAGGTGATACGGGTTTGCAGTAAGCGTAGAACTTGAGTCCGATAATCGATGGTCACGACGTTGAAACCAAGAAATTACAATCGATAAAGGTACCTTGCGGTAACCTCATAGGGATCGTGCAATTACCAACTAAAGGTACAGACTGTGCAGTGATACTGCGAATCTTAACATCTGTAGGCACTATCACGGCAATGGGGTAGAATGCAGTCAGAACTGATTGTGGAATGATGGACTTAACACTACCAATGTCAACAATAAAGTCATGCTTCTGACCAGAAGCGGATATCAACGTTTTAAAAACATGTGACGAATTTTGGGACAAAACAGATAGAGAAAGAGTAGAAATATCTTCAGATAATGTCTTCACGTCAGTATTTGGGTCAGAAGATAAGTGCCACACTTTCTTGGACTTACAGACAAGTTGAATGTGTCCTGTTTTACCGCAGATAAAACACTTCGCTCGTCTGTGAGGGCATGAATATCTGGAATGGTTTCGTCCACAAGATTCACATTTCCCAAATTTTCGAGCCATCGGATTAGGGTTACGATCTGTGAAGTGACGTGTTGATGGATTTGGGGCACGA